AGAGAGAGAGAGAGAGAGAGAGAGAGAGAGAGAGAGAGAGAGAGAGAGAGAGAGAGAGAGATTTACGACATTGAGACTTGGTGACATTGAGATTCAGATTTGACATATGAGCAACGACATTGAGGGAGACTATTTTGGGATCAGTATCGACGACATTTTTGTTGACGACATCTCTCCTTTTCTCCCCCTTCGTCTCTCCTCCCTCCTCCTCATCCATGTATGTTGGAGCCTGGCGCTTCTTCTCTGATGATGATGTTCAGTCTGTGCCATGACATTGATTGGGTGTGATTATTGGTATTTTAGTCTTCCGCTGTGCTATCCTTACTACATCTGCGAGAGGTCGGTTCTTGGTTCTGGTCTGCACCATATTGGTATGCATACTATGCAATAGTTTGGTATACGGAGCAGACCTCTCAGATGAGGATCTGCCCAATCAAAGTACCATCTTGATTGATTGACTAATTGATTGATTTGGTAGTTGAAATTCGTCAAATTTCTGCATTTTTTTCTTTTCTCTTCTGATAAAGTTGAAATCTTGATTAGCTGTTAGCACTAATCTCGGATTTAGCGCTAATCCCTAATTAGTGTTAATCCAAGATTAGTGCAAGGAAAATTAACAGAAGTGAGATGACAATATTCAGATTGCACAATCACATTGAAAGCCAAATCGTAACACAGTGTTCAAGAAGCAGCATTGCACCAATATAACACCAATGGAGAATCGTAGCACTGGAAGTCAAGGTCAATGAGAGCTTGCTCTCGCCACCACCAACATATGTATCCAGTCTCTATCTCCCTACTTGGCGCTCGACGCCCAGCCTACTCCCTACACAGCTACTACTAGCCTACTAATTGACAATGCAACTATTGACGTCAGCAGCACCCTAAGTACTTGAAGATGTCGCCCATGCAGAACCATCTCCAATACCAGGTATGTGCCCTCACATCATCATCATCATCATCATCCTTCTCTCTCCCCCTTGACTCTCTCCCACGTCTCCCTTAGTTGTACACCCGAAGACCACCCTTGCGCCTCACTGTACATCCAAGCCCTGCCAGCTATGGAGGCTGGGCTATGGCGCTGCCCTCGGCAGCACCCTGCTCCCTGCACGACCGCACGTGCCTGAACCTCGCCGCTCAGTGCTAGCAACAGCCCACGAGCTTCAGCTCCAGCAGCGCTGCCGCCAGCATGCGAGTGCCCGAATGGCTGGCCAAGCAGCGAGCTCTTTCCTATATGGAAAGAGCCTGCCTCATTCGGCAGCCTACATGGACTGGCCTGGGCCCAGAAGCTTCTGGTAGGCTCCAAGATGCTGTGCCTCGGGTGCAGCTACTGGGCCTCATTCGGTTGGGCCTCCCAACTGTCTGTGTATGAGGCTGCGAATCTCGCCCAGGGCCTGTGCTTTCGGAAAGGCCTAGAAGGCCTGGGAATTTCCACGCTGCTCGGACTGTGTTTCCCTTCAACCAACTGGCGCGACGAAACTGCCTGGACCCCAAATGCGAAATTGACAGTTAGGGGCCTCTCGTGATTTGTTAGGCCCGCCTTCACTTAGGGCGGGCACATATGCCGTAGGGGGCCCATTAGGCCTGCCAAGGACCCATATCCTCGCATTCCCTCCTCTTGTACTTCGATAGTCCTCTGAGAAGTTTTCTATTCTGCAGGCATCTTCCCTTTTAGATCTCTTTCATAGCCTGCAATGACTTGAGGTGCAGTTCTCATGAGTTCTTCTCTGGTGAACCACCGATCTTCGCTGGGGTCCAGATGATGTCTGAATCTGACCCGGTACTGCATTTTTGGCTTAGGAGGGCGGCGTCTGCCCGGTGGTCGCGGAACAGGCATCAGACGATGCTCCACGATCTGGTCTATGTCCACTTTGCCATCCATGGTTGGGGGCAGCATTGATCTCCTGGAGGGAAACTGATCTGTGGCAGCGAAAGGTGCCAGCTTGGATGCATGGAACACAGGGTAAGTACGCAAGTGTGGAGGAGTGCGAATCACGTATGAAGGCCCATCCGGTTGATCCCCTACAATATCTAAGATCTCCCAAGGCCCAAAGTACTGTGGCATCAGTTTTCGTGAAATCCCCATCTCCTGGCCTAGTTCAGATGACTTTACCCAGACTCTATCACCTACCTGAAAGTTAGAGGGACGTCTATGTTTATTCTCAGATGTGATCATAGCATCCTGAGACTTCCTAATATGTTCAACGGCCTGCTGCAGCATCTGTTCATACTTGACAGCAAACTCTATGCTGCCAGGTGCTGCAGTGGGTTGCCTTTCTGGTAGCTGAAAGTCAAGTGCACTTCTGGTCTTCCAACCAAGATGCAGCTGGTTGGGAGTCATACCAGTAGTACTATGCACAACATTGTTGTACAGGCTGGCGACGAGAGGTAACTTCTCGTCCCAGTCATCCCGACTTGGCTTAATATAATGCCGAAGCAGGTGATGTACTACTCGGTTCATCTATTCTGCCTGACCATTTGACTCAGGCTGATTCCCTGACGTCATTTGGAGCTTGGTGCCCATCTGTTCAGCTGTCGCTTGCCACAGTTCGCTGGTAAACCTTACATCCCTGTCACTTACTATCGACGTAGGCAGTCCAAAATCCCTGACCCAGTTATCCAGAAACAGTTTAATGACATAGTCGGTTTTAACAGTTTGTGGCATAGCGATAAGTCTTGCATACTTCGAAAAGCGATCCACTATCACGAAGATGTGTCTTTTTCCAGACCTGCTGGTCACAAGGGTATCCATGAAATCCATGGACACACTCTGACCAGGACCTTCAGGAATCGACAAGGGCTTAATGAGCCCAAGCGAAGCTTGAGTCCTGGGTTTGTCCCTTTGGCAAACCTGGCAGGTTTCAACATACCTTTTTGCATCTTGCATCATAGTGGGCCACCAGAACTTCTGCACTAGATTAGCTGAAGTCTTTTTATAACCAAAATGACAAGTTGCATCATGATAATCCCCTAAAAATAAACTATGGAAAAACTCACTACTGGGAACACACAATATTTTATTCCCTTCCTTCTCAAGAAACAGCAAGTCGTCTACCATCGTACATTCATCCAAAGTCTTTTTGTCTTTTGCTTGGAATCTACGGATGATCTCAGACATAACTGGATCTTGCTGATAGGCTTCCACCAATGATCGAGTTAAGTCGTTAGATATGCCAAATTCAGTCATTAGTGCGCCCAATGTCTATCACTTGAATCCATCGCTTGAGTGCACCAGAGAGTATCGGTTGTTTCTTAATCCGGCGCAAGGTCTCATGGTCAGATCTCACATAGAAGAATCTGCCAAGGAGACAGTGTCTCCAATGTACCAGCGCTCTATACAGGGCATAAAGCTCACGCCCATAAGTGGACTTGGCTAGTTTCTGAGATGGCATCTTCTTACTCATGTACTCGATAGGTCTCAACTTGGTCCCCTCCTTTTGCACAAGGACCGCGCCTATGCCATATTGGCTAGCGTCCGTGGTCACTATAAATGGCTTATCAAGATCCGAAAGTTTAAGAACCTCGTAGTGTGTTAGGGCATACTTCACACTCTTCAGTCCACTCCCACGGGGTGTCTAGTTGAGTTAGATCTGTTAATGGGAAGCTTTAGTACTAAGTTCTTTACAAACGGACGATAGTAGCCCGTCATCCCCAAAAACGATTTGACCTCAGTAGCGGTCTGAGGTCTGGTCCAGTCACGTATTCTGGCCACGTTAGCATCATTTGGCCTCAAACCATCTGCTGAGATTTCATGACCTAAGTACAAGATCTTCGTGCGACCAAACTCGCATTTCTCCAAGTTAACCTTGTACTGTTGTTGTCTAAGGAGACCTAACACTATTTTCAAGTGCTCAGTGTGCTCCTCTACGGTCCTACTAAAGATAAGAATATCGCCGAGATACACGACGATAAACTTGTCTAAGTACTCATGAAATATCATGTTCATCGCGTGTTGGACAGTACCAGGTGCATTGCATAGGCCAAGGGCATCACCACAAACTCGTACAGACCGTACCTGGTCTAAAATGCGGTTTTGTGCTGGACCTCAGGTCTAATGGCAATTTGATGGTATCCAGACTTTAGATCTATCTTGGTGAAGTATCGGCATCCCTGCACTCTATCCAAGAGGTCGTTGATGCGGGGTAGGGGCTCCGCGTTCTTAACGGTGATGGCATTGAGGGCCCTATAGTCAATGCACATCCTCAGGGTACCTCCCTTCTTTGGGACAGTTAAGACTGACGCACCCTTAGGGGAGGTACTAGGCCGAATCCATCCCTTTTCTGTGAGCTCCTTGAGCTGGCGGCGGAGCTCATCCACATCAGCTACCTTGTTGTACTCTCCCTTGATTGGATCAAGTTGATAGTCATACATGTCTATCACTTGAATCCATCGCTTGAGTGCGCCAGAGAGTACCGACTGTGTCTTAATCCAGTGCAAGGTCTCATGGTCAGATCTCACATAGAAGAATCTGTCAAGTGGACTCAACCAACACCCCGACTGCGTGTTGGTTGAGTCCACTGACCTTTCTGTCACTCAGTACCCCTACGCAACACACACACACACTCCACTACAGCTATGGCAACACTAGCTGCCACTACCCTATCACTATACTATGCTTCTCTGCCCACTTCATCTTCGGGCACACTATAGACCTCCTCGCACAAGCTGCTGAGGCAGCGCTTCCGCATGGCTTCCGCAAGAATGAATGAATGGTTGGACGCGGCCTCTTGATTTATACTTTTGCGCTGCATTGGTCTACCCTGTGTCCCTTGGCCCTTGGTGCACACAGTCCCAGACGGTACTTGCTGAACAGGACCGGACTGCTTAACTGGGACTGTTGACTCAGCGAGGTGGCCTACCACCACTTGACCACTTGCCTCTGTTCAACGCAGGCTCATTCCGAAAGGCCACTTCTAGAACCCTCTGACTTGGCCTTTCGGTACTGTAGCAGCTACGACTTGACCCTTCAGGCATCCTACAGCTACGACTTCAGAACTGTCTAGGCTCCTACTCTACAGGTCTACAATTCGATTCTCTTCTACCCTGTGACCTACGACAATCTACCTACCACTGGCGTTCCTACAGGCCGCAGGTTCAAATCTACGGGTTGACATCCATACTGTACACAGGTAAGATGGGGAACTAGGGATCGAGCCCTGGGATCTGCATTCGGTACTGCGAACTGGTGAAAATCGTTTCACTCCTGCCGGCCTAAATTCGAGGTCCTCTGAGAAAATTTCAGTCTAAGGCAGGACCTTTACCCCTCTGCTGTCTCTCGTAGGCCCGTAATATATCGGGAGCTGTTTCTAGAAGTTCAGATCTTGTAAACCAGCGGTCGTCTTCCGGTTCTTCATAACTAAAACGAACCTTGTACTGTGTCTGTGGACGACCCCTACCTCCAGTTCTGAATACATCTTCAGCCACTATGCCATCGATGTCATACCTTCCATCCATATCGGGCGGTATCATAGATCTACGGGATGGAAACTGATCACTTGTTTGACAAGGTAACAACTTCGACGCATGGAAAACTGGGTAAGTATGGAGGTGTGCTGGGAGTTCTATAGTATAGGACGGTCCATCTTTGCCGCCCTTCACTTCCAGAACAGGCCACGGTCTCCTGTATGTGGGCAGTAACTTCTGCGAGATGTTCTCCTCAGGCGCAAACTCTCTAGAACTGACCCAGACTGAGTCGCCTACTTGAAACTATGAAGGGCGACGATGTTTGTTCGCCTGCTCTATCATCCTATGCTGGGCTTTCCTGAGGTTCTCTACGGCAGTAGCTAGTTCTTTCTCGTGTTGTACAGCAAACTCCCTGGTCCCGGGTGGTAATCTGTGAATCTGATCCCGGTTGAGTCCTTCAAATGGTCTGCGTGGTCTAAAGGACTTGTGCAGTTCGTTGGGAGTGCGGCAGGTGGACAAATGCACGCTGTTATTATGCGCACTAGCTACTTTAGGCAACATCTCGTCCCAGTTAATCTGATCTGGCCTAATGTACATGCGCAGAACTTGTTGTAGGATCTTATTTATTTGCCCTGTCTGACCGTTAGTCTCTGGATGACGGTCGGACGACATCAACAACTTAGATCCGTATACTCCCATGAGTTCTTGCCAGTTCTGGCTAGTAAAGCGACTATCTCTATCGCTAACTATAGATAGTGGGATTCCATTCTCCCTCACCCAACAGTCAAAGAATCTCTGTATGACTAAATCAGTACGTGCCTCTGAAGGCAAAGGAACAAAAACTGCGTACTTACTGAACCGGTCAACTATGACCATGACTTGGCTCTTGCCATGCCTACTCTTGACTTGAGTGTCCATGAAGTCTATGGACACTGAGTCTCCCAGCTGATCCGGAATGGGCAAGGGTCTGAGAAGACCTAATCGGGCACGCGTAGTAGTCTTGTTACGCTGGCAGACTTTACAACTGCGAACATACTCTACGCAGTCATTCTTCATCCCTGGCCAAGTATACGCCCGCATCAGATTGGCTAAAGTCTTCTGCCAACCAAAATGACCCTCTGTGTCATGGCATTCTCCCAAAATCAGGCTACGAATTTCTTCATTACTGGGAATGCACACGCGGTCAAAGACATTAGTCTTCTCGAAAAGCAACCCTTCGGTAGTGCAGTAGTTCGGCTCAGTCTCTGGGGCCTCTTTGACTTTCTTAAGGAGGTCAGAATAGATAGGGTCCTGTGCGTAGGCCTCTCCAACCTCTTGCTGCAGGTCTTTCCCTATATCGAGGTAATGCACTATTGCCCCAAAGTAACCTGCCCTCCTACTCAGAGCGTCCGCGACTACGTTGCACTTCCCTTTGACAGGCTCGAGCTCAAAGTCGTACTGATCTATCTCGGCGGCCCACCTAGTAAGCTTAGGTGTCATCTTGGCCTGCGTCTTTAACCATCTCAATGTCTCGTGATCTTAGTAGACTTTGAAGTGCCTCCCAAGCAAGTAGTGCTTCCAGTGGTATAACGCTTGCCTGAGAGCGTAGAGTTCCCTCTCGTAGGTAGATGTCGCAACCTTCTCTAAAGGCATCCTGGCGGACATGAACTCTACGGGTCTATAGCCATTGCCATCGTCTTGCTGTAACACCGCGCCTATGTCGTCCTGGCTAGCATCCGTAGTAACGACAAAAGGCAAGGACGGATCGGCGACCTTAAGGACCGGATACTCTATCAACGCCTGTTTTAATTTCTTCATAGCAGACGTGCAGTCCTTGTCCCACTTCCAGATGGTCTCTTTCCTGAGCAACCTGCGAAGGGGCGCAGCGATAGTGGAGAAGTTCCTTATGAACTTCCTATAGTAGTTGGCTAGGCCTAAAAACGACCGCAACTCTGTCAATGTACGCGGTGTCGGCCAATCTCTAATCGCTGCRATCTTGCTATCCTCTGGCTTGWCGCYGTCTCCGTCTAAGACGTGGCCTAAATACAAAACTTGGGTCTTTGCCCAATCGCACTTCTTTGCATTGATCTTGAAGTTAGCTTCCCTCAGCTTCTCCAAGACCTGCCTGAGATGACCCTGCTGCTCTTCGAGGGTCCTACTAAACACTAGAATGTCATCTAGATAAACTACAACAAATCTGTCTAACCATGGCCTAAACAAATCGTTCATACAGTGCTGGAACGTTGCTGGCGCATTGGTCAGTCCAAAGGGCATCACTATAAAATCATAGTGCCCATACCTAGTCCGGAACGCGGTCTTGTACTGATCATCAGGGTGAACCTCTATCTGATGATATCCTGACTTCAAGTCTATCTTAGAGAAATACTTGGCCCCCTGCACTCGATCTAAGAGATCATCTATCCTAGGCAGTGGCTCAGCATTCTTCACTGTAATAGCATTCAGACCCCTATAGTCTATGCACATTCTCAGCTCTCCCTCTTTTTTAGGAACAAAGAGGACAGGCGTTCCGAAAGGAGACGAACTGGGCCTAATCCAACCCTTCTCGAGGAGTTCGTCTAACTGCTTGCGAAGCTCCTCTAACTCCCGTGGGGACATCCTATACACAACGCCCTTAGGAGTTCTACTGCCAGGCTCTATTTCGATACGGTGCTGGATGGGCCGCGGTACTACTCCTATCGGCGGCTCAGTTAAATCCTTAAACTCCTCCAGCAGCTTGGCAATCGCACGGTCCATCGGCTTTTCTTCCGTAGGCGCAGTCACTAGCCTAACATAGGCAACAAAAACTTGTTCCTCCAATTTCTCCTTTTTCACCAACCTGGCGAACGCAGGAGCACTAAGACAGCAATGTGCCAAGGGATTCTCTATGCCTGACACATGGAACAGGCGGGCAGTCTTGGCCTCGCCTGAAGAACTAGGGAGCCTACACTCGTGCTCCTTCAAATGGAGCATGGCCTCGGCTGCCTCTCCCCAATCCATTCCCAGGACAATATCGAATGGGAGGCTGTCTTCTACGAGGAGAGTCAGGGAGTGGAGGACCTTCTCCACTTTCCCATCCTTCTCTAGGCGAAAATACGCCTGGACTCCCTCTACATACTCCTCTACAACCATAGTACGATTGTCTGCGAGGATACTAACTATGGGGTCTGCCAATTTCTGGACTTTAAGTCCCAACTTCAACTTCTGCAGCGCTTTCTTACTAATATAGCTGCGGGTGGCCCCTGAGTCTACTAGGGCCCCTACTCTACCTCTAAAAATCTTTGCATCTAATAAGATAAGTTGCCCTTTATTCTCCTTCTTCATCTTGGCCCAGGCGGGCATCCTCTTTTTCAATTGTTCAGCCACGTCTGTGAGGGAGGTGTCCAGCGAGACTCTAACACAAGCAGTCTCTGGGCAGTTATCTAGACACCGGCCTGCAACCTCTGCCATAGGCACATGTGGTGTGGGAGTCTCCTGCCGGCTAGCGCTATGTTCCCCACATGGTCTAATGGTAGGGGCAGTTGCTACCCCTACCGGCGGCTGCCTTTTGGCCCTTGGGCAGCCGTTCAGGTCTCTCGATACTTAGGACAATATTTGATGATATGGCCCGGGTCACCGCAGAAAATGCACTGGCCCCGGTCCAATCGTTGTTGCCATAAAGTCTGGTCCAGACCCAACGCCCCCCAAGGCCTACCCTGCGGTAGCCCCGGGTGCCATCCTCCTACCCTATAGGGAGACCTGTTCCTAGGACGGTTTTGCGGGGGACCTTGACCCCTGCCTCCCGCTTGGCGGTTTCCTCCTCTGCCCCCAACCCCCTGATCGCCCTGAAACCGGCTCCCTGAGGCCCGGCCCCCTTGGCCCTGGCCTCGTCCGCCTTGCGGCCTCCCTCCATCCGCGACAGCAGCGTAAGTCCTCCCCTGGCCCACACCGCTGTCCTCTTCCTCTAACCCCCACTCGATCTGTTCGTAGGGGATCTCATCCACACTACCCTCGTCTAAGGTCAGGACAAGGTTGTCCTTGGTCTTTACCTGCCCTGAGATAGTGCGGCCTTTCCACTGCTTCCCTTTGTCTAAGTCCTTGTGCCAGAAGGTAGACAGGGACACAGACTTAGCTTCAAAAGCCACCACCTCACGGCTAAGGGAATCGTAAGTCGTGGCAAGGTCTTCGCTCTTCGCGAAGAACTGCCCTCAAAAGGCTTCGGGCATAGCCCGATAGAAGAGATTGACCAATTGGCCCTCTGTGACCCCGTGGTCGGGGACGGCCACCAACTCATCCATTGTACCCTTGAGTGCCTTGGCACTCTTCCATTTACGAGAATGGATGGTCTGGAGCTTGTCTGAGGCCTTGACACTGCGAGCGACATCGGCAAATCGCTCGCGCAGCAATGTCATGAAATCGGTGAGGGGAGTGAACGACCAATATGCAACTGGATCGTCGTTGCAATTGGCAGCGCAAACTAGGGACCTTGCAAAGCTGGCGGCCTCGTCTCTAAGCGCGTGGATCGCGATCAGAACCTGCTGATCCGGGAAGACCTGTTGCAGATGCACATAGGTCTTAACGTTGGCCTCCTAGTTGTCAAAGTTCTCTTCACTTTTTCCACTGTAGGAATCGGGGAATTTGACCTTGACCGGCTCCCGGCGAGGAGGACGTGCTTCCTCCTCCTTGGGAGCTGCCGCCTTAACGCCTTCAATGGCGCCAGCGCAAAACCGCTCAGTCTTGTTGAGGCGATGACCCACCTCGGCTCCAACAGCGCCTACCAACTCACGAGCAAAGTCCCGAAGGCCCAATCGTATTGAACGCACAACTATATCTTGACTCCAACTGAAGTCATATTGGTCCGCCTGAATCCGTGCCAGGCGTGCGACGCTTCGGGCTATGACTCGCATCTGGCCCGGGAGTTCGGTTTGGGCGGCTAATTGCTCTTCTATCTTTTTCACCTCCTCTAACTCTTCTGCCGCCTCCGCTGCCTTGTCAACTCTTCTCTTCTTCTCCCTCATCACTGCTAATTTCCACTCCATCCTCTTCTCGTCTTCCAACGCCTGTCGTCTGAGGGGATCTTTCTCTGCATCCCGAACCCTCATGGCAGCCTCTTGCTGATCCTGTGGGATGTACATGCTAACTTCTTCCTCCTCTCCCACAGACAGATTGGCAACCCATTCGCATATCCTCTTCTCCAGGTCCCCACCTTGCTGCCACTGTGCTTCCCACTCCTCCTTTGCAGTGGCGGACCTTCCTCCTCTTCCTTGTCCACCTCCTTCAATTTCTGCTCTTCTTCTTTCTTGATTCTCTCCTCTCTGGCCATCTCTTTCTCAATCTTTCTCAACTTGGCCGCCTGCTCCTCCTGTAGGGCCTTCTTCTTGGCCTCTTTCTTTTATTTTCTCACCTGCAGGATGGCGGCCATCTTCTCCTCCTCCTCCTTCGTGTAAGGTTGGGTGGAAGCACCACCCCGAGTCCCTACTCTACACGTGAAAGTGGGCCAAAAGCCCAGAGGGAAGAGGAGATGCCAGAGGGTCCCCCAGAGGGAGAACCCCACAAGCAACCCATACATAGGATAGTCGTCCATCATGGTGGCAGGTGCACGACAAGAGTCCCACTCCTTACCACTTAGACCTACCCGGACACTAACCTACTGACTGACTTTCTAAAGACCACTACTCAATTACTCAAAGGCTGTCACTAAAGAACCAGCAGCTGATCAGGAGGCATTTAAGGAGATCCCCCAAACTCCGCAGGAATTCTTTAACGTCGCAACAGGACGACGCGATCAGCTTGGCTCCTCTGGCGATTTCAGCCCACAACTCAGCCCGTCCAGCCTCCTGTGCCACACCGAGCAGCCCGCCGGTCGGTACCGGTCCTTGGAGGGGTTCGTGTCCCTCGGGTCAGTCGAGTYGTCAGACACGGATCATCAGCCTTCTGGGTCCGGTAGGGGAGTGGCTCAACCAGGCCTCAACACTTAAAGACGGCCTTCGTTTCAGCCTACAACTCGGAGTTCGGACCCTCTATGCTGAACTCAGTAGACCTGCCAAACAGTACCGGTCATTGGGCTAGACGAGTTGTTTAACGAGCGCTCGCCACTCATGCCCAGGTCTCCAGATGCCAGAGTAGAGCTTTGGTCCTACTAAGCCCGTGCAGGTTTGGCAGCAAGGCCCTATCCTTCATCCACAGAGTCCTAACACCTAGGACATAAGAGACTCAATGCAGAAAGGAGAGACAGACAGACTCAGCAAGTACCGTGGGGTAAGTGCACATCCACAGGGTAAGGGGATAGGCTAAGGGCTCAGCGAGATATCACCAACTCCAGCTTGGTCAAAATCTTGGTCAGCAGCTCCGGTCAACGCCTTGGTCAACGCTGAGTCAACGCGGACAACCCCGAGTCAACGCTTGGTCAACGCCTAGTCAACCCTCTGGTCAACCCTTGGTCAACGCTCTTGTCAATGCTCTGGTCAACGCCCGGTCAACCCTTCACCTCGGCTATGGCTGCCGGCACCATCACCTTCGTCACCCTCGCCGCTTACTTCCCCTTCCTTC